GATGGTTTCTCCACCGGTGTAGCTAATTCATACAATAGGTGCTTAATTACCATACTATATTAATATATGGTCCACCTATCCTATACACACATTGCGTTTTGCAGTTCGCGCTACAGCTGGCTACAGATATGTAGCCCGTGGCTCTTTCCTCTCATCTTTTATCTCAATAAATATGTTTACAGCTGGCTAATAGTCTGCTATTATACTTGCTCTCGTATGGCTGCATATCGTCGTCTTTGCGGTTTGGCGATCCCTATAAGTGCGTGACGCACGCGCGCGCGCGAGCCTTCATTTCATGTGTGTGCCCGACGGTGCATGGAATGGTGGCGGCACGCGTGCACAGTGATCGATCGGCGGAGGTCCGTCACATGCATTAATTCTCTCACGGACCTGATCATCCACATATATATATAGGGTACAGGCATGTCCATTTCTGGATGTCCCTTTGTGACTAAGCCTGAATTAACCGTACGTGGTACGTATATGAATGTGCACGCGCATGCATCTACTAGTACGTACTATCATGCGTGCATGCTTCTTCTTCTTCGATCTCCCCACGGGGACTTACGTACGATTAATTGATCTGCTTCTACTGCTCAAAACACACATAAAGATACAAGATATGTGGACCTGTACATACTTAGTCTAAATATAATTTTGTCATACGTGTCTCTATAAAAAAAAATACTACTACTGCAGAAGCAGGTAGTAGTAAATAGTACCAGCGTTCATTAACCTGTTTTGGATGAGGTTAACGCAGAAGCAGCACGGTTACCGTGAAAACTGTATGGTTACCATAAGAATTGCTATGGTTATGTGATAATCGTGATAACCACACGGTTCTACAAACGCTGGAAGTACTGATACTACACTAGGAAGAGATCAGAGATGTAGGCCGACGCAGGGCGGTATGTATGGATGGATGGTCGTAGAGGATCCGGGGCACGCGTGCTGCGAGTTGTGTCAGCGAGGAGAGCGATGGGCAATCATCATTCCCTTTGCCTCTCTTTCCCTTCTCTCCCAGCCAACGCAACGCTCTCTCTTCATCACTCCATGTCCCTTTCTTCTTCCTCTCTCTCTCTCTCATCCATCGGCCACACACACGTGACGCTCATGCCGTCATGTCTCTCTCTGTATCCCTAATATTCTCTCTCTAATTATCAGTGCTGGTAATCACTGCATGCCCATCCAATTAACCACTTTCTACACCAACACCTATCTTAACCTTTGTTTCTCTCTTTCTTTCTTTCTTTCTAATGGCCCCCGGCCGGCCCTTCCATTCCTTTTGCCTTATCTTCTCTTTTTGATCCGGCTGGTCTCCAATTCATGAGCTATATATCCATATGTGTTCTCTCATGATCTAAGCTAGCTAGTTATATCCTGCAGAGTTTGTATTGCATATGGCTTTGCACTTTGCACTCTTTCTTGGAAAAGCGGTAGCCTTTCTCCCTTAACTTCTGCGATAATCGCAGTGCGCAGGTCAAACCTCACATGCAACCATTATATTATATTTATATATGAATTTTAAATTTTAATTGCACAAATACATTTGTATACATATGGCGCATGTGGTGCACTGTATATTCATAGATTTTATGCCTGGACTATACTACTACTCCCTCCGTTTCAAAATGTTTGACGCCGTTGACTTTTTTAAACATGTTTGACCGTTCGTCTTATTTAAAAAATTTAAGTAATTATTACATCTTTTCCTATCATTTGATTCATTGTTAAATATATTTTTATGTAGACATATAATTTTACATATTTCATAAAAGTTTTTGAATAAGACGAACGGTCAAACATGTGCTAAAAAGTCAACGGTGTCAAACATTTCGAAACGGAGGGAGTATTCATCATAAAATATTTAATTTATCTCTATAACGCAGTAAATAATCTGCGTTAATAATCAGGTTGTTAATCTATCTCAAATGCGGCTTTAATTAGGTAATTAAAAAATGTGACGCATTTCATTCGATACAAAAACATTCTCTGAAAGAAAACTGAAATTAACAGTAAATTAAGAATGGCATCTAGGTCGGCGGCGGCAGCCAGAATGCAGTGCTGCAAAATTACTCATTGGAGATGAAACAGGGAAAAGCGAGGTGATCGAGATGCTGGAGGCAATGAGGATGGGAGAGGTTCGCTTTTGACATGCGCGCTCGAGAGCCCATGATTAGCACTTACCACTGCGACCCAACCGAGGAAGACGACGACGATCATTCTCAATTTCTCATGGACGGCATGTGTGTTTGTGTCATGTGTGTTTGGGCAAAAGGTGAGCAATATGTGCATGGGTCGTCTTCGCAGAATGCTACTCCCTCCGTTCTATAATATAAAAGATAATAGGTGGATGTGATAAATTTGGACAGATCATTTGCCCAGATTAATTGTACTGGAATGTGTGATCATATCCACCCATTATCCCTTATATTATGGGATGGAGGGACCGAGGGAGTACTACCAATGCATTCGTCCCAAAATACTCGTCTCTTTAGGATTCAAATTTCATCTCAAAATACTTGTCATTGTAAAATGCTAGTTATCACATCAATCACTTTCTATCCAAAAGTTCTCACTTTGTCCACAATAACCATTCCACTTTCCATCATGCATTATTCAATAAGAGGTATTATAATTTTTAAATTAAATTTTAATCTATCCTTAACAATCTAGAACGATAACTATTATGAAACAGAGGGAGTACTACACAAGTACTAGCAAGGAGGAGAGATCTCCAGAGAGTCTACTGCTGCCAATGCTTTGCCATGTCTCCTTGCCTCTCCTGATCATTCATATGCTGGCCGGCCTGCAGCAAAAAGACAGGGGAAAAGGGAAAGGGATTTTTGGAGTATGAATGTCCAGAGCTGCTACCATTATGATAAAGCTGCTGATCTGTCCTTGGATCGTGTGTGCTTAGCTGCTCATCGATCACTTCATCAGCAGCATGTGTGTTTGTGTATGTGGCTCTCATCACTGATCACATTCATTCGATCTCGCCATGCTCAAAAGAAGAGACAGACATTCTCCCTAGTACTGTAGGAGAGAGTACCATTGTTGTCAGTGGTAAAAAAAAACACGCTTGTTGCAAAAATAAAAATAAAAAGTCACTTTTCCCGGCAAGATGATGTACTGATCTACAGCTACTTTTGCTGGATAACACGATGCACGAAACAGAGCGTGGTAGACAAGTACTACTCCTTTCTTCAGTTCAAAAAGGTTTAATGGGTATATATCCATCATGGTGCCATTGTTCATATATATATATGCCGTCCTACTACTTTTACGTTTTGGAAGAGATAAAACCTAAACCATTGATAAATCTATATCTCACTATGGTGTTGAGTAGCATGTATTTTTTTTTTTAGAATCGTATAGCTACATGCATGAACTGAAAAATCTAGTGACGTGGCTCTCATTGTTTGAACTAACAGCTTATATGTAAGCCGTGGAGAAATGAACGAAGAAACAAAAAAAATATCAATAAAATTTTTATATCTAGTTTTCAGCAGTTAAATATAAAAGCCAATGTTAAAAGGTAAGTTATGATAAAAAAAATCAAAAACAAACTTCTTTCTAAGTTTAAATTTTTAGTACTAGCTATGGTTGATAAGTTAACAAAGAAGACGATAATTAAGAGTCAATCAGCAGCAATTAATTACTCCTACTAAATGGCAAAATCACGAAGCTACTCACAACATACTGCATCATCAAGACGTAGAGATTACTCCAGCTACCACTAGCACTTGCTACCAGTCTACTGCATGCTTCGGTTGAAATGTCACACAGAAACAGGTTTCAGTTTTTCTCTAGACAACCTACTGTAGAGGCAAGCAGGCGCTACAGTAACGGGCACTTGTCCCGTGGGGGATTCAGTTATAAAAGCCAATCCACATATGCCTCGGATTTCGTGTCACTGTCAGATTGTGACCGTTCCTTGTTTGAGGCCAACGAAGAAAAGATGGAAGAAATAATAATTAAAGAGGAGGAAAAGATGGGGAACAATTTTGTTCCTGGAACTGTAGGAGTAAAAGTGAGCTGCTGCCTGCAATGCATGGACAGTAACAACAATGTGTGACGTATGATCTTGGCTCAAGTGAATGAAGAGAAAGATGCCATTCTTTTCAGCTGAAAATATATGCCCCAGCTTTTGCAAGACAGGTAGATCGAGTAGCTTCTCTCTCTCTCCTGATATACTTTCGAGCTACAGTTTTATGCGCACTGAAAGCTGGTCATGGACTAGTGGCTACAGAAGCAGCTCCATTGTATGTTGGCTTCTCAACCATAGCTAAAATTTAAGTTTTGTAACATAATTGTAAAGTTGATTTTGAGGTTTTTTCTAATCGTAGTTTATTTTCAACATCAGCTTTTAAATAGCTAAAAACATAAAGATAAAAGTTTTACATTTAAATCATTTTTAAGTTATTTGTTTATTTTTTTTCACAGCTTATCCGTCGTAGAACAAACGATGATGATGAGAGAGAGTGAGTTGCAGTAACAGTAAAGGCAGAGGTCAATTCGTTTTGAGAGTTTTGGGCCACTCAAAAGCTAGTTGACTTGGAGTAGTAAGCAAGCATACAAAACCCCCATCACTTTTGGTTATCCTCTTGTGATTACATGATGGAAGTGAAACGGAATGGATTGGAGAGGTCAACACGTTCGCATAGTGCGATCATATCCAAACGAATCGAACGTACAGGACGTGTTTATCTTTTTCTGGTCAACACGATTGCATTGGCAGCTTTGGCGGAGTGCCTGCAACTAGTGCATTATCGTACGATTGGTATGACCTGTTACCAGTTCATTGATCCATGCATTTTTGTTTCTTTTGCTATAGTAGCAGCATGTACTTGTATGTCCTAATGCTATGGTCAAATTAGTAGCAACCAAGCATGTTCATGTGCAAGGCCCAGCCCATCTTCTATTTCTCAGTTTGGCCCAGCAAAATTGTTACCAGTCTCAAGCCGGCAACTTGCTTCTGAAGAGCAGAGCAGAACAGGTGACCTCTGAACTCCTGATGCTGCCACTCTTGTTAACTGGTTTGTAATAGCCAACTGCTGCAAAGTGCAAACAGAGAGACAATTTTCAAGATGATTTCATGACCAACGATGACGAGTAGGATGATCACTGTACAACTAATGTATACATCACTCTCATTCATCTGACTACCACCTAAATTAATCCTTAATCGAGAACACTGCAGCTGCATCCACAACGAGTCAAAAGGATGGCCAGCAGCAGGCGACACCCCCTCTGTTGGTTGGTTGATTGTTAGGACTGGCAAAAGGTAACATTGGCAACACAAGAACAAGCAGCAAAGGTGGCAAATGGAACTAGCACAATTCTCCAGTTCCACAAAACAGTCACGATTGCCTCACCACCATCCTTTAATTTCTGAGATCAGCATGTTAGCGTCTCAGAGCTTCCCTGGGCAGCCTCAGAGCTTCCCTGGACAGCCTTGTAGCACTGCAGGCTGCAGAGCGGAAGCTTCGTCTTCGAGTCCCGGTACTTGTATGGATTTGTGCATGAAGGGCCTGCACATTTCTCCCTTGGAGGTGGATAGCTGGGAAGATGGATAAAGCAAATGGAGTTGAATGTAAATGCATAACTTCAAAATGGATCAATACATGGATTCTATGCTTGACGTAAACTTGGAAAAACTTAAAAGATGCACAGATGGGGTACTATATGTAACCTGATAGGCTTGGAGTCAAATATGCTAGGGAGGCCCATCTTATCAGGAAATGTGACAACAGTTCCTTCTGGCCCCATGACACATTGGATGCAGTTCCTTCTATATTCTTCTGTTTTTTCTTGCTTTTCCTGGAAAAAAAGGTGAGAGGAAGGGTAAAATGAGTCTACTGTACCATGAACAGAAATGTAGCAACAATAAAAACTTATGGCATAGTACCTTCTCATCCCGCTCTTTCTGTTTCCTCTCCTCTTTTTTCTTCTCAATATCAATACCCAGGATTTTCCTCACTGCTTCGGCCTGTACAGTAGGAGCTAGTAAGCTTGGCTACGCAAAAGGCGAAAAACTAGGAAACTCTTAGGGACTAGGCTAACCTGTTGTTCCCTCTCTGCCTTCTCAACTTGCAATTTACGCCTCTGAGCCGCTTCTGCCTTTTTGGCTTGTGCCTCCACTTCAGAAGCCTTATCCTTTTGCCCTGTAGTAGTAATTAACAATGGCATTTAGTATCAGATCTAAGGCAACACATTAATGTCAATAAATAGCTACTCCCTCCGGACTGATAATATTAGTCGTTTTTAACAAGGGTAAAGTCAAACTTTAAAATCTTTGACTACAAATAATTTCTAAAATATTTATCTTAAAAATATGAAAATCATATGTGTAGATTAGCCTTAAAAAGTACTTCAATAAAATTATATATTTGTTGATATTTCTATATATATTATAATAGAAAATAGTTGTCAAAGTTACTTTTTGGAGACCGTGCTCTTGTCCAAAACGACAAGTATTATCAACCCGGAGGGAGTACATATATAAGCTAGAGATTATACTTCTCGATGAAGCAGTTGGTAATCCATCAGGAAATTCAATCAGAGTTTCACCATTGCCACCTCTGCCTTGAAGAGCACGCTGCCTGGTTATAAGGCCAGTAGTTTCATTCTTTACATCTGAATGTGAATCAGCTTCACTTAGTCTCTTCTTTGGCTCATCCATCTCAGGTTCCTCTTCAATAAAATCATCGCTATCCACCAGTTTCAACTTCTTCCTACCATCCCTGCCAGATCGGTACATAGTGAAGTCTTCGTCCACTTCATATGGAAGGCTCTTGTTTTTGGAAACCTTTGACAGCCTCTTTTTCTTAATATCATCTTCAAGAGATTCATCATACTCTCCAGCATGGTCAGTAGCTATAGATTGTTCTGGCACAACCTTAGCTATCTTAAATTTTACAAGATAGCCTGATCCACCATCTTCATCACCAGAATCACCATCAAGTGTTCGCTTCTTAGGAATCCGTTTGCTCTTGCGAACAAGGTCTGAAGATGGTGAAACATCATGCTTATCTTGGTGATGTTTGTGCCCACCAGAATCCTAAAAACAAAAGATGGGACTATCTTAGAACTCAAAATGAATTAAAAGCTCAGCTGTGAAATTGCCAATTATATTATACCATTAATTACTTGTGGATGTTGAAAAGTCATGGGCAACCATAAAAAGAGACACTAACATGGTGCAGTGAAATGACAATAATGAACACCCAGTGCAATATCTAGGTTATAATTGTATCAATCTTAGTTGCATATTGGCAAAAAATGCACGGTGACTAAGTGATTCAAGCTTTCAAAAATAGCATTGCAGTAAGAAGTGATGAGTGAAAGCATCTCATGCACCATTTATGAGAAATTTAAGCGATGGGTGGACACATCTTCCACAAGACCCATGCATAAATCAAAGATCAGTTCACATGAAATTGTGAAGATATGATTATTGCAACAAAATAAGGTAAAGCATTGAATACACGAGAAGGCCACAATTTCACACAATTTCCTTCCCCAATTAAATGCAGATAACAAACCTTTTGCTTATGCCGCTGAGAAGAGCCATCTGATGTGCCGAGCGTGCCACCATCACTTGCCTCTTGGATGTTTTTTGTATGTAGAGGTCGAGTAATCCCGCTAACCTTGAGCTTTACTTTTCTCAAACCTGGCATACTAGTAGTGTCTTTTGGAGGCAAATGCTGGCCATCAGGGGATCCAGAGTTTCTTGTGCAGGCAAGAGCCAGGACCCCCTCACTAGTATGCTTGCCATCCTTTGATTTGCTGCTCTTATTTTGTTCATCATGGTCTCCTGCAGCTCTATTATCATCTCTCTTTATTTTTCTGGACGCGTCACTCCTGTGTGGTACGGATCCCCTAGCCTCAGGGCCATTGAGGTACAACTCCTTGCGCCGATGCCCACTGCCCTCAACGCCAGCATCATCTTCCGGGGAGATGCTCCGCGACGGCGTGCACGAGAGGTCCTTGAACTCACTAATGAGCTGCTCCTTCGATCTCGGCTTCCTTGAAGCAACACTCCTGGGCCTCTTCAAAACTGCTTCCGCCGCATTCAGTGGAGGGTTGCCATGCCCCTCCATTACAGGACACCCTGATCTCCCAAATCAGGCGCCTACCGACTTAGCTACCCGTGGTACCTGCGTGGTAATCAAGCACGCCATTACAACCATGATTCGGAAACAAGTCTCAATCAGCACACAGATACATACGGTGACTAGAATCCTCATTGCCGGAACACTAAAAGTCTATGCTAAAATCGTAGTACTACATATTTAATCAACGAGATGCAGCCCCCCAAACATGGCCGACCATGAAAGCGATAGCATCAGCGGATAGACCCCGTACGGAATTCAACGGAGAACCCGCCCAAACTAACCAAACCCCGAAATAATCATACATAACCACCAACCTAGAGCGAAACAGCGCAATGAATCAAAACCTCGCGGCATAAACCCCTGGAGATTATTCAAAACCCTGCGAAACCTTAACGATGAGGACCAACCAAACCGAACAGCGGAGAGGAACCCCCCAAGCAAGCGAGCAGCCCAGGCAGCCCAGCCACCGCCACAGCGACTAGCCACAAAACCCTAGGGCAAACAGGATTACAGGCTACTCACCTCAATCCAGCAGGAGCCGCCCGCCCCGGCGGCGGCGGCGGCGGCGAGTGGCGGAAAGGAGGAGGGGGAGCTAGGGTTAGGGTTCGGCGGGGGAGTAGGGTATTGGGCTGGGCCCGTGGCGACGATGAGGTGAGGGGGATTTGGGGGGGAAGGAGAGCGAGGAGGGGGGGTGGGGGTTGGGGGGGTCTCGTGGTGGAAGGGACGCGTAGTTTCTCTCATCTCTCCCGCTCCGCTTCGCGCTGCTGCGCACGCGCCCCGACGCCGTTGCGTGCCTCCCTCCTCCGTCCGCCTCCCTCTCTCTCCGGATGGCGCCGTCCACTCGCTTTTGCTTACCCCGAATCCTTTTCCTTTTTTTTTCTTTGTTTGTTTGTTTCTCTTTTTTTTGAGTATTTTAAAAACTGCAGCAAGTTTTTTAATGAAAAGCTTTTAGAATAATTAAAATATAATTAAATTGTAATAATAAGTTACATTGTAAGATCTTACACGTGACATGTGTGAAAATTTCTTTCTAGCAGTTTTTTTTCCTTCATGCACAAATCTCAAGGCGATCCAATAGTCACAAATATAAAAGTTTGAGGGGCAGAAATAACTTGCGGGAGTTTTCTAGAATTCTGGTTTTTTTTTCTCTCTTTTTGTTTTGTGTTGCTTATTGTCTTTTCTCTCTTTTTTTCTCCTTTTCTCTCTGTATGTGTGTTGGCCTATTGAGATTTGAGTCCTAGGTTAGCGCTAGTCTGTACTCCCTCCGTTCTAAAATAAGCGCAGCCATGAATTTACGTGTCCAATTTTGACCGTCTATCTTATTTGAATTTTTTTATAATTAGTTTTTTTATTGTTATTAGATTATAAAATATAAATATTACTTTATATATTATGTTTTATAGTTTTTTCAAAAAAAAGACGAACAATTAAAGTTGGACATGGAAACTCATGACTGCGTTTATTTTAGGATGGAGGGAGTAGCAATTTCTGGCTCTGCCACTTATTGTCTTGACGCATGGCAATTTGTCAAAATTACGCATACATTGGATTACCCAGGCCAAACGATCTCAGTATGTAGGTTTACATTTGGCCTGGGTCTATTTTTGGTATAGCAAACATTCCTCAAATTACCTATTACGCCTATGATTAGTATGATTGTGTCCGGATCGTTTCGCTGTATCGCAGATAATTACTATAATTGAGAGGAGAACGGTAAATTAACGTCATGGGAGCAGCATTTTCACTTTAGCACTTTGATCTCGTTCATACATTTCCATTTCGGAAGAAAAACAAGAGCCTAATGCAATTGCCTAGGATCCAATTACATTAGGAAGACGGCCATATTTCACAAGGAGATACATTAATAGTTGCAAAACGCACCATGCTAGAGCCAATTCTAATTAATCCATTCACACTTAAAACAGTAGCAACGTTCTAGGCCGAGTTTACTTCCAAACTATTTCTTCAAACTTTCAACTTTTCCATCACATCAAAACTTTTCTATACATACAAACTTTCAACTTTTCCGTCACATCGTTTGGTAAAATCTAAACCGAGAAGCCTCTCGATTTAGCGTTAACCAGCGACGAACCAATTTATGAGAAGGATTGCTACATGTGCTGACGTGCATGCTTGTTTTTCCTCTTAGACATGCATGTTTTTTTCTTCGTTCTTATAAAGTTTTCTCTCAAATTACTTATCCGATCTACAATCCGATTACACCATTGTCGTTACAATTAAATCTTCACAACAAGATCTTACATGATTATATTACGATGAAAAAATATTTATATTTATAAATTAATTTTATTATATACATAAGTTACTTTTATCATATATATAAGTTGCTTTTAGATTTGACTAAGTTACTTCTTAGACATATAAAAGTAAATTCAATAAAGTCTAAAAGTAATTTACATATATTATAAATGTATCTTAAAACAAAACGGAAACATACTATTGCATTTTTCAAGTTGAAAGGAAACACTAGATGTAGTACAAACCAGCTACCATTAGTTATATAGTCACGTCCAATGAAAAAAAGACATGCGTTAAAGTTACTTTCTTTTTGTTATAAGTTACTTCTATAATATATGTAAATTAATTTTAAGCTTTATTGAATTTACTTTTATATGTCGAAGAAGTAATTTAGTGAAATCTAAAAGTAATTTAGATATATTATAAAAGTAATTTATAATTTTTCATCAAAATATAATCATGTGAGATCTTGTTATAAAGATTTAATTGTTACGAACATAATGGTGTAATCGGATCGTAGATTGGATGAGCAGTTTAAGAGAAAATTTTATTTGAAGTATAGGTGAATATGGTCTCTCATAAATAGAGTGGTAGCTGATTTAGACAACCAGCTACCACTAGCTGTGTGGTCATGTCCCACATCGTTTCAATTTCAACCAAACTTTCAATTTTAGCATTAACTAAACACAACCCTAATATACTTCTATTACAGTGGATAAACAGTAACACGGCTACTCTGAATGCAAACAGCTGATCACTGCAGAATCAATCAGTCCATGCCACGCTGTGCTACACCCTGACAAAGAATATGCTCAGCTCCGTCCCGCCGCCGGCGCCGGCGCCGGCGTCGCCGTCGGGGTTGACCATGTAGAACGACTCCGAGTCCTTGCTCCCGGCGACCCTGTCGAACCCGGCGCGCATGTACGTCACCTCGCCGTCTCCCTCCGCCCCGGCCGGCTCGGCCAGCACGTCCCCGGGCAGCACGCCGGCGCCGACCGACACCGTGCTCAGCAGCTGCATCACGGCGAGGTCGCCCTCCGACGCCTCCCGCCTCACCGCGTACCCGACGCGCCGCCCGTTCACGTACGCCGTCCACATGGCCTCCTCCAGGAGGCTCACGCTCGCCTGCTCCGGCGGCGCCGACGGCAACTTCTTGGGCCTCTTCTCGCACTCCAGCGCGACGCGGACGTGCCCGCCGCCGGTGGAGATCTCCTGCATCAGCTTCGCCGTCGGCACGCCGAGCTCGAGCACGAGGGACGGGAGGCTGCCGGGCCGCTCCTGGACGGCGAGGGTGATGCGCGCGCGCCGGTGGCCGTAGAACGTCCCCGTCACGCGCGCCCCGCCGCCGGCGTGCCCGTCGTGCGGCCTGTTGTGCCGCCGCGGGAGCGCGGACGACGGGCGGCACGCGGCGGGCGCCACGAACGGGAGCGACCGGAGCAGCGCGCGGATGGCGCGGAGCGCCCGCGACGGCCTCCGCGCCGCGGCGGACGGCGCGCGCTTCTGCTTCTGCTGCGCCTGGGACGACGGCTGCCGGAGCGTGATCTCGGGGCGCGGCGCGCGCGGCGTGGCCGGCGGCGGCGCCCTCCCCCTCCCCGGCGTGTGCGGCGAGGCCGGGATCGCGCACTGCGGGGTGGTCGGCGACGGCGGCGCGACGGCGAGTCGGCTCGGCGTCCCGCCGGCCGTTGGGGAGCGCGGCGGCGTCGCGCGCGACAGAGGGCTCGACGGCGTCGTGCGCGACATGGCGCGCAACCTGTGGTCAGGAGAGCGGGAAAATAGACGTGCGACAAAAGTGGCCACGGATTCTTATATACCGGGAACGCGACATGATGGCATGCACGTTGGTAATATTGTAGCCAAGATACTTCGCGATTTGCCATGTAGAATTTGTTAGATAGATACCTGGAGAACTTGACATCTGCTATGGATTGTTGTTCGTGCAGCGCACTTGCATTACGCCGACAGGAAGTATAACGAAATCAAAGCGTAACATTTCTAAATATTGGGCAATCTTCTCAATGATTTCCCAGTATCATAGACAAAATCAGAACATGTCTCATTTCTCTTTGTTATTTCCTGAATCATGGTACACGCATGAATGGCAGCTTATAGTTTAGTATACTTTATAAAATGGGTGCAACCACAGATCGACTCATCATTTCATCAAGCATGTTCAGCTGAATATAATGCCAGCTCCACTTGACATGACGAAGGTTCAAGTCGAACAGACACACATATTCCCTGTTTAGAATATTAATCAACAGTTTAAGTGACAACTGATGTCACTGACGAAGTGAGGATGAACTTTCATCAGTGTATAGACAGACACTCATTCAAGGTGAATTGATACTTTGGTACAGCTATGTCTTATGGTGCTTCCAATGCTGGAGTAGTTTCATCCATGCAAAGTCTATTTCTACATCAGCAGCACCAAGAATAGTCACCCTCAAGGTACAAACTACATCTCACCACACTCGCTTATGACACATGCGAGCTTCGGTCGGTTGTTTGGTCCAGTTGCAACATTCTCGATCTTCCGCACAGCAAGCATACCATCCCCTAGCACCCTCTGAAATGATTTAACATGACAATAGAGAGTTATTTCAATTAGAATGGTGGTAGGTTAACATGGTACGTAGTAATAGGTAAAAACACCACCTAGCCTGAGACTAGCACATGACTGCTAAGAACCATTCAAACACATTTTTTCTACTGGGGCAAGCCGTTTTTCCATAATCTCAAAAGTAAAGCGACTAAACTTTTTTCATGTTACCAGGCATATATTTACTCTGTAAGTAAAAAAACATACTGTAGACAAGTACATGCTGTTGGAATGTTGCTCCGAGAGCACAAAGCATTCAAAATGAGGGAACTTACCCCAAAAACCACATGCTTGTTGTCCAGCCATTCACATTTTGCACAAGTTATAAAGAACTGCAAGCATAAGAATAGAAGATAATATTTTCAGGAATACTGTAACTGAAAAGAAACCTGGAACTGGATATTGCTAATTTTGTATAGAGAACAAAATACAATCCCAAAACAGTACCCCAGCCCGAAGATTGCAAAACCAGCTGGATAAAAAATCTACAGCCACACAGAAAAAAAATAGAGCAGTTATCAAAAGAAGTACCTGAGATCCATTAGAGTTCACCCCACTATTTGCCTGAAAAAAGATAGGACAGTTTTTTACATCTAGAAAATAAAACCAAATATATCATCTAAAATAAATCAAATTACTGTCTTGCAGTGCAGGAAACATGCACATAAAAGTTCTAAAAAACAAAATGGATGTAGAAGTAGCTAGTTACACCGAAACAGATAAAAATATAGATTAATAACAGCATAAGGCGGTTGGTCACTTGGTCAGGCAAATGTTCTAAAAGTAAACAATACAATTGGGTCAGTCACCAATCACAATGACCTTTGATGATGCTTCAATGTCTTGTTCTAATTTGATGTAAATGTAATATGACCTAACCTATGCAAATTTCAACGTTGGGAAGAGTAGATTGGAAATACTGTGTGTAAAAACAATTTGCCACATTTAGATAGTTAACTTCAGATACCTCATTTTACGCACAATTGTGTATCAACTATCTGCAGGTTTCCAGAGCACAAGAGGCTCTGCTTACCCAATGACCAGAAGCCACACACCGAAGGCATTAACAGATGAAAACTAAGAATTTGTAACAGAGAGAGAGAGAGAGCAAGGAGTCCAAGGAAATTATCTGCAAACATAGCTAAACCACCAAACACTAGAAATAGTTGTCCTGCACAAGATTACATTAGAGAGGTAATATTTTCTAACAGTATTTCAATTGAAAATCAGGTGGAGAGGAATAATACCATAGAAAGTAGGCCAGGACCAGTATGCTTTGCAATGAAGTTTTCATCATCAAATTTGGTACCATAGATTGACGTGCATCCAGTACCATCCCCCTTAGGACATCAAAACAGAGTGCTTTAATTTATTTTTAATATCACATGAATCAAATCCAAGTATGGAGATAGCTGAATAACAGTTCATTGCCCAATGCTTGATAAAAGATAACATCAAAGTGTGCAATAGTAGATGCCTTTTGTTATAAATCCACAGGATTAGTTAGTTAGTCCTATGAAAACACCAGATTAAAGCTATTATGCTAGGTGACATGATTGACACTTGAAGCAAATTTAGCACACGAACCTTCATATAGTCACCTCCCTGAATCATGAAATCTTTGATCACTCGATGGAACTGACAACCCTTATATCCCTGTGGTAAACCTGATTTCCTGCAATCCAGTGATGAAGCTTCTATGATTGAACAATGGATGTGATAGTAATTCAATATGTGGGTGAAAGCTTGCGCACTTTTGCCTAAATCACATAATCAAGTAATCAATGTTCTGAAAAAAAATGCAAGCTCAGTTTCCTGCCAATTACAACAATCGCAGACAATGGAGGTATAATAGATGTCAAATTAGAATGGAATTTAGTTGTGCCCAAAAGCTACTCGACCAGTATCAGCAATACTAACCTAGCTACCCACCATCTTCATCGAAGATCCACTACTACAGTATAAAGCAATTCTATGGCAATATCATAGTCAAACAAAGCTAAACATTTAAAGCTGTCAAGACAGTCAATGCTGAAGAATAAACAACAAATGCTTGGCCATAGCCATCAACCAATCGCCGGGCCTCCCTACCTGTGCTCTCCAGTGCAGAACTGCCTGAAACCAAACAAACAGATGAAACAAATCAGTGAGATCCATCAAAAGCAAACACATCAGAAGCAGGATTAAACAGATGGAACCTAGGGTTTAAGGCGAGCGAGGGCTCTGGGTCAGTACCGGAAGTTCTCCGCCGTCTTGGGGACGATGTCGGCGAAGAGCTCCATCTTGATGCGGCCGGCGGGGATGGACCCGATGGTCACGTCGAAGAACACCACCGGGTTCTTCGGGTTCGGCGGCCGCAGGTGCCAGTCCACCGACGACGACGCCGCCGCCGCCGACGGCGGCGTGGGCCCCGCCGAGATCGCCGCTCCCCCCGAGGACGCCATGCCCGTGCTCGAACTCTCCAAGCTTCGCACGCGGCGGAGGCGGCGGCGACGGCGGCGGCGCGCGGTCGAGAGGCGGGAGGAAGAAGATGCCTGTGGCCTGTGCGCCAAGATTCGTGCCACGAAGCTTCGAGACAAGATGACTCGGATTCAGCACTGACATGTGGGGCCCACATGTCGGTTGCCTAAGTCGGCAACCTCCAATAAGGCAAAGGAGAGAGAGAGAGAGAGAGAGAGAGACGCGGCGAGGAGAAAGAAAAAAAAAATCCCCAAATCGAAAGCCGCGAGAGACAGAAACCCTAGCGGAGAGGAGGGCGGCGATGGCGGCGGTGAGCTTGAGGAAGAGCAACGCGAGGCTGCCGCCGGAGGTGAACAGGGTGCTGTACGTGCGGAACCTGCCGTTCAACATCTCGAGCGAGGAGATGTACGACATCTTCGGCAAGTACGGCGCGATCCGGCAGATCCGGCTGGGGAACGCCAAGGACACCAGGGGCACGGCCTTCGTCGTCTACGAGGACATCTACGACGCCAAGAACGCCGTCGACCACCTCTCCGGCTTCAACGTCGCCAACCGCTACCTCATCGTGCTCTACTACCAGCCGGCCAAGATGTCCAAGAAGTCGGACGTCAAGAAGAAGGAGGAGGAGATCACCAGGCTGCAGGAGAAGTATGGCCTCGGCTCCAAGACGCCTTCATCCGCCCCCGACGCGTAGGATTCTCATCAGAAATCAGTTCTTCAGCTAGTACATGTATTTAAGAATCGGGAATTGCTTATTCAATCTTGCAGTTTGTGCTCGTGTGTTGTCTGTGCAATAGTTTCCTATCAATGAAAATCACACAGCGGTATGTACTTTGACTGAAAGAACAATATGCAATGTGTACTTTGACTGGGAGATCTGATTGGTAGCATCTAGTTGAATTGTCCTGTGTTTTTAGGCCCCTTGAGTTGATATGCAATTATGTGCTCAGAATTAAGTTGTGGCTTTGCACCTCTAATATGTGTTACTTATTGGTGAGCTTATAATCTATGGATGGATGTAGTCAAAATATGAAAGCATTTTCATTATTGGTACTTGGAATCTCCGACGTGACAATCAAGATTATGGCAAGCCTATTCAGAATGATGTGCTTTGCATTCTATTCAGTAGTTGATCTGGATCATGCATTCACTGTTCATTTGATCTGTGCACATGTATTGATTTGATTGTCGACAGCTACTCCCTTCATACAAAGGATCGACGCTAGATAGTAATTGTTGTCGTGAACCTTAGCAAGATAAGTTTCTTTCTTTCCCCTGATATTACTCTCAATTTTGCTGCTTGATTGTCTGGTTTTCAATGCTATTTGTGATGCCAACGAATGGATGTGATTTTGGTTTCATCTCAACAAGACATGGCAATCTTCAATTTTATCTTATTGCAACGAATGTTCTATTACTGGATAATTTTCCTGTGACATTTTCTTGCGCTTGTCATGTTTGTGGGGATGGTGTGTTTCTCTCTTGGAGATTGAAACTACCATGTTTAATTCATGCATCATTAATTTTCTCTTGTCGAATGTGATTTCAAAGAATCGATGAATGACCTTCAATTCATGAATCATGAACTTCTTTGGATTTTATGTTCTAATGTGAGCTTAACTTAGCTAAGTTTGTGTGTTATATATATCATCTGTTTTGGTAAATTTAACTAAACTGGAATTTGGTTCACAAAAATATATGTGATTGCCAATTTTCTTGAGCAGATATTTTGTTGCTACCAACTTCCTAAAAAGTGTCATAAATGTTGTTAAAGTAGGCTATGCTTTGACTGTGTCCTTTTCAGTTTTTACTAGGACAGCAAAACTTATGTAACAAGATGGCTCTAGCAAACACATCATATAGTATAGCAAGGCACATTATAGTTCTTCAGGTTAGCTTAGCATGTTTGTTAGCTCACTGATCGCCAGGTTGACTCATGCTTCCTCCAAGCATATGGTCCATATCTGGGCTCACATTCCTGTGACCCTAACCTCGCGAACTCGAACTACTGCTAGTGATGGTGATTCTTCGACACAGTATTCGGCGAGTTTTGGGCTTCATCATGCGGTGCTCGACATGGTGACGAAGCCTGAACTTGCCAAAGACTGTCGAAGAATCGCAGTCACTAGTTGTAATTTGACTCCGTTGAGTTCTAGGGCCATCAGAACGAGCGCCAGGACATTGAAGCAAGAGAATGGTCGCCCATGGCCGTAAATTAGTTGGCCACCAGTCAGTTGACAAACACGCGTGATTGACCGCATCTAACAAATCCAACTGATAGAATCTGTCAGCATGTACAACAGCTATATACAAGAGGCACACTAAGATGTCATACATATACATCGGGGCATTTCAGCTCCAGCCACTGAGAAAACAGGATGAAACCATTTAGCAAGATAAATATCATAACCTCATCTCAGGTCTCTTTGAATCAGAAACATAAAAACAGAACAAAGCAAACATTTTTTTTGAGACAACAGAGTAAAAGTGTAGGTATGTGTTATTCCATCACAAGATCAGTTCAGCTGATGACTGCAGATACACAAACTTTGTTGGTTCTTTAACTAAAATCTTACACATAGTACCAAAATATCAAGAAGCTAGGATTCATGCAGAAATAGCAGATACATTATTTATCGCTGTTCTTGAGCAGAGCAGCTAAACCCAGAGGCCAATTAAACTTCATAGACGGCTCTTGCTTAGCAACCTTCGAGGCCCTACAAAACAAAGTTACAGAGTAAAATTGGCAGTCTAAAATTTGCAGATAAATATACCATACAGCACAATCTATAGGCGAGTCAAATTTACAGTAATGTCATGCAAAGTGTAAAAGAGACTTGTCATCTATTCAACGGCACAACAGGTGCAATTGAAATCTGTAAGAAATAACATCAGAAAACTTATTTCGGCAACAGGTGACAAAAACCAAAGGCCTTGGAAAGCTGAAGGGCACCACGACCTAATACAGGAAATTCAGGACTTAAATGAACCATAAAACAATATGACTTCCCATATTGTAATCAGAGGGACTACAATGAGTGAACACATTAATCATTTTAATGGATGAAAGGTCATCAAAGTTCAACTATCGGTCAATTGCACTTTACTGCCTAGTACTTAACTTGTTAATACAGACTAATAGCCGGTTATCCTATAGCGCAAAACAAAACAAAATGGCTTTATTGGAGGGCAATTAGGCATACAAGACAGTGAGCCGCAGGATTCAGATAACAGGCAGGTCATTGAATTAAAAGGTCCCAATGTTAGTTTCATCGATTTCAAGCATAAGCATTACGCACTAATAATTAAAATTAAGTAGAATAGAAGATTACACTTGTATAAGAAAAATTCTATTTACCACTATTTTCCAACCTAATTCACTCGGCACAGATGCAATAGCTTACTACTCCACTTCACAGCAGTAAATAAAGGATATGAAAATAAGACGAAATCAGGAGGGAGGGGAGGGGGGGGGGTCTCCTTACTCCGCAACGGCGGCGGCGACAGCCGGGGATGTGTTGGTGAGCAGCGGCGGAGGTGGGGGGTGGCAGGCGGCGGCGGCCTCGGCGAGCGTGGAGAAGCCCTGGCGCTGCTTGTGCTTGGCGTTGGCCTTGCACTGGATGAACACGATGCCCCTGCGCTTCACCACCTTGCAGTACGCGCACAGCCGCTTCACCGACGCGCGAACCTTCATCTTCTTCTTCTTCCTCCTCCCGTCGCCTCCTCCTCCTCCCTCCTCTCGCCGTCACCGATTCGATTCGAGCCACGAAGCGAGCGATCTACTCGGCCTCCCTGCCTAGGGTTTGGTTTCCGGCGCGTTAATGGGCTGGCAGTGGAGAAGATGGGGCCCATATACGGGATCTCCAAGCCCATTAGTGGCCCAGTCAATGGCGCAGTAATGTGTTAAACTTGAATTTGATAGGAATTTAGCCTTAAAAGAAACAATTTTTTGCTGAAGTTTCATTTTTAGATTACCAACTCGACGAACATAGTTCAACATCGCCATTCGCCAATAACCAAATCAAACAAAAGCGCTAGTTTGATTCTATTTTTGATCGGCATTGACATGTCCACAACCAAATCGACATTTGTCCCAAAGGATCAAAGAGAAAGAAGAGAGAAATGTAGTAAATTGACATGTCAATGTAATTCAGATTGTACTACATTGTGAAACATTGTATGCATGTCATCCCTGATGATACCTCTAACTAAATTTCACCAATGTTACGCTCATGCATTTCTTCTGACGAAGGATCTGCATATTTAGGAGCAAAATCAATATCACATATACCGTAGTCATCTACACTCAGGTCTTGTAGAGCTCCATCTGGTTTGCTAGCCTCAATATTACATATATGTGCATTGTAGTCATCTGCACTTTGATCTTGTAAACCTCCATCCGGTTTGCTATCCTCGATATCACATATATTGACATTGCAGTTATCTACACTCCATTTGGTTTGTTGGCTTCAATGTCACATGTTTTGCGGTCATCATCTATACTTAGGTCTTGTACACCTCTATCTGATTTGCTGCCCTCTTCATGAACCTTGCATTTACCCTTCTGTTTGTATGCAAAGCTATGGTACAATTTACAGAGCACCCATTCATCCAGCTGCAGAAAGTAAAAAAGAACAATGTCTTGAGAGAGCATGGGTGTAAGCTGACAAGATGAGCATGTAGAGATGTAACAAGATCAACTTATCACACTGGAAACAAGCTGCAAGACAATGCAAGATGAGGTAATCTGATGATGCTTGCATGCTATGTTAGCCCCGTTTTAAACAAACTCAAATTCTCATATAGCCTTTGATATGAATTTGCATGAAAAAAAAACCTATATGCAGTTCTCTTGTATGTTCCTCCACGAGAATTCAGTTTTAGTTTTACTACTTTCATTCTTAGAAGGCTGACATTATAAACCTGTCCAATCAAACCTAAAAGTTATAACCAATAATACGTTAAGAAGGAATGGGATTTAATACATGAAAATGGTATTATTAGTAGATTTGTCAGGTAAATTGCTTCCACACGGTTATATTTTTATGAGTTTTCTAAATATATAATTACAAAAAGTAATTATGAGATATATATACTGGAGACTATATCACTGTCTGAAATAACAAGTAAAAGAAACATAAATACAATAGCATTTTTAAGCGACTTTGACACCTACACTACAATAATATCGACCGAGATGGGATTGATATGTGGTCCAACAATCGTCACATCATATGATGTTAATATCCATTTTATGCATGTTTCAAAATGCTACTACCTCGTCCTAAAATATAGAAAGACATTATCAACTTGTTCAGATCGATTTACAGTGTTAAGTATGTGTTCCAAGCAGTTATAGATTTCTATATTTTAGGGTGAAGTGAGTATCATGTTAAAGCTTACAACTGCTAGTGCATTGAATTTGAATTGGACATACTTCCTCCGTCCCCAAAAAAAAAGACAAACCCTGGTTTCCGTGTCCAACGTTTGACCGTCCATCTTATTTAAAAAATTATGAAAAGAATTAAAAAGACAAGTCACGCATAAAATATTAATCATGTTTTATCATCTAACAACAATGAAAATACTAATTATAAAAAAATTTCATATAAGACGGACGGTCAAATGTTGGACACAGAAACCCAGGATTTATCTTTTTTTTGGGCGGAGGGAGTATAAATTAAAGGAAGTGCACCAATTTACCAGGCGGTTTGAATCTTCTTGGCCAAGTGGAATCTGAAACTGCGGGATGCGATACTCCTTCATCCTCCAGTGCGTCGCCTTCCCTCTCGGCTGATGGCCGAGCGCGAGCGTGAGGCTGTTCACCCTGCCGATCACCTCGCCGTCGTCGTCGACGACGTCGGCCTCCGCGCTGTTAGACTTCCAGTACCCCACCGCCGTCGTCTTGATCCCCCTCGCCGGCCGGACGCCGCGCTCCTTGTACCGGCTCCTCGGCGAGAACACGTACCACGCCCCGTCCAAGCTCTTCCCGAGGCCAAGATCTCCTGAAAAGAAAACAAGAACTAAGAAGTTATAATCGTGTTCGTCATCAAGAACATTACGATGGAGTGATCATAGGATCGATCGATCCATCTGACCATGGAGTTCGTCTAGGTTCAACTTGCAGACGTCCAATTGCTTGATGACGATGATGTTGGTCGGCATGGCGTCGCGGAGGTTGTATTTTGGTTTGAGGAAGTGGATGATGAGTTCTTGGTCGGTCGGCGTGAACCGCACTCCGGGGATATCGGAGTACGGGGACACCGGCCGATCCGCATCGCCGACATCGCCGTGTCGGGGAACAATGGCGAGAGCGGATGTAGCTGCAGGTGGCTCACCACCGTCGACCACCACCGCTTCCTCCGCGCTGTTCTTGCTGCTCTGGTTGTCATCTTCTTGGTTGACGTCGTCGTTGCGCTGGGCTGTAATGGCGGGAGCGGATGTAGTTGGCTGCTGCTGCTGCTGCGGCGGCGGCGGCGCCGAATGCGCGCTGGATGCGGTGGCGCCGCGGGGTCGGCCGCGGCCCCGGCGAGCGGTGGCGGCGGCGGCGGTGTTGCGGCGTCGGCGCTTGGCAGGTTCTTGCGGCGGCGCGTCTGGAACAACGGCATGGTTGCTGCCAGAGGTGGTGGCGAGCGGCGACGAGTGTACGGGAGCCGCCATGGGATGGCCGCTTCCTACCATGGCCACGCCGTCCGGCTGCTGGTGGTAGTACTGCATTTGCATGGCCGGCGGCGGGAAGAAGCGGCGGCCGGCGACGGCGGGAAGATGATCTTGTTGGTAGGCGTGCCCTGGATTGGCTTGGGAGAAGGTGGTTGGTTGCGGTTGCCATGTACGCTGCTGCTGCGGCGGCAAGGACGAGGAGGAGGAGGAGATCATCGCCGGCGAGGCCGGACTTACCGGCGACGACGTCGATTGCGTGTTTGCAGCGTAGGAGCCCGCCGCCGACGCCGAGTGGTATGGTGAGTAGTGGTTTGCCGGCAGAGGAGCTCGGACGGTGGCCATTGCCGGCGGAGGAGCTTTGGCGGTGGCCGCGGCGACCTCGCCGGCGACAGGGTTGATGGCTGCCATTGCAATGATTCACCGTTTCTCTGACGCCTACCTTTTTTTTTTGGGCTTTTTGGGATACAGTTAAAAAAGTTGTATTGTAATTACAACTCTACAACTCTGTTATTACTTATGATTAGTGTTTTGGGATACGTCTCCAACACTATATATATAACAGGAAAACATTAAATACTGTGATTGGTTCATTTGTGTGGCATTTGCTTGGACCTTTGCGGCTAATGATCTTTACTATCTTCCACATTTTTTCTCTTCTGTTTTTAGGTAATGTATAGTATGGCAGATGCTTCAAATTAAAGATGTGCCCCTCTCTCTTCTATATTAGTCCTCTGTTCCATAAAGTATTTGAGGTGAGTGAAGCCAAATGGCACACAATATATGTTCAGACTAGGATGCCTTTTTTTTTTGTGAGCACAAGATGGCATGAAATACTTATGATGAAATTGGGTTTTGAGTTGAATCATTTTTATATAATGGAATCATATTTCAATATTTTGTGATGCTTCAACTAGAATTTAGTAGTCGAAATCGACATTGGATGTAACAATATGATGGGGTGATTTGTATAAGTGTTCTGTTCGCAAATCCAAATCCTTCCAATGAATCGTGTGAAGTGGTTGGAAATACATTGTACAACACAAAATCTTTACTCCTACACCTATTCTCACCAATACATCGATTCTAATATTTTTAAAATTAAAGAACAACAGTTAGGTTCTTTACTAGATTCCCCCAAAGAAAAATACATGGTTTGATATGATCCGTAGGGTCGATCTTATCGAATGAACCATATCACAAGTTGATCTCCAGTTTTAACGTGTTGTTACCCTAAATTCCTTCGGTTTAGTCTATAGCTGATTTTCTAATTAACAAGTTTTGGTTTCCCACACAATGTCTTTTTTTTTCTCGATTCCATTCAGTCAGCAGACATAAATAGCTCAAGCTAATTTTATTTAAGTGACGTGAATTCTACGTGCACACTTGATCAGCAAAGTCCAAACAATTTCATTGCATAAAATTTCCAAAACATTTTTTCTCCTTACTAGGACCAGTGAGTGAGTGACAATGAACATACAATAGTGGTGTTTTTTTTTCAAAAAAAATAATGCTCGAATTTACATATCGTAAAAAAACACTTTATTTCAAGAAAAGAAACTTGCAATTTATGGGGAAAAAAGATGTAATTCCAAAAAGAAAAAGAAAGTTTGGTAGAGACCAAAAAAAGAAAAAAAAACTCAATAGTAGGGTGAGACGCGTTCATTTGACGCGACCCGCACAAAGGTTGGCTCTCCCTCGTTTCCCTTCCCTCGCATAAATAAAAGCTCGCACCACCGCCACAATCCCTCCTCCTCCCCAACCCATCGCTTCCCCCCTCCACCCGTCTCCTCCGTCTCCGGCGCCGGCGCCGGCGAGCTCGCCCCCCGCGATTCGTGCCCTCCGATCAGGTGACCGGATCCCCCTCCCCTCCCCTTCCTTTCACCCTCCTGGGATCCGAAGTTGTTTTGTCCTTCTCTTTACCCGAGGTGAGATCTAGGCGAGCTCGATTCCGGTGAGGGGGGGCATTTCGCCGAGCGGGAGATCTCTGTGGGTTGCGTTGTCCATTCCTGCGCCGGTGGCGTCGTAGATCCGGCCGCGGATCTCGTGCTCGGCTTTGCAGATCGCGCGCGTTGAGGTCGTAGGGTTACATGGATTTTCGATTGGGAGGTGGATCTGGTGCCAGGCGGGTGGATCTAAGCTGC